TTTCCTGGTTTAATTTTCCTGTCTAGATAGGCCAGTATCCTCTACTTTGGAATCCGGGAAGAGTGCCAGCAAACATAACCCTGGGGTAAGTATTGGACATTGAAATCTACCCGTGGATCCACAAGGAGTTTCTTGATTTGATTAGAACAAGACAGAGCTCTTCTACTGTATGATATCTCCATATATATGAAATATACCTGAACTTAGCATTAACCCTTTCATTGTTGGCTTATAACCTGGGAAATTGTACAGATCACAGGCCAGGTATTGATGGTCCATGTAATCCTAGCATTTAGGCAGAAGGATGGCAATTTGAAAGCCAGTTTGTTTTGTATAAGCAGATCTTGTCTCAAAAAACTACACAGGCTGGAGAAATGGCTTAGAGGTTAAGAGCCTTGCCAACTCTCGTAGAGGACCTGGGTTTGTTTCCAAGCACCTGAGTGATGGCTCCCAATACTTAACTCCTGTTTCAAGAGATCTGAAGCCCAAGTCTATCCTTCCAGAACACTAGATGTGTGTAGTATGCAGACATACATGATGGCAATATACCAATTCATGTGTAATTTAAAAGAACACTAAAATAAGGTACCTAATACTTTAAAAAGTTCAACGTTTAGATGAATTTCAAAATTTATTTGCATGCTGTACACTATTTCAGATATTTCTTCCTTGATACCTTATTTGAATCTTAAAGTTTATTTTCGTTTTCAAATATAGCATTAATTTTGGCCATTTTTAAAAATCAACATCTTTACCATTTTCCTTTTATTGGTGTTTTTTGTAAAAGTTTCTTTTATTTGTATGTTCCCCCCCCCCCTGGAGATAGGGTTTTCCAGAATCTATGGAGCATGTCCTCGAACTCAGAACTCACACTTTTCACCAGATTGGCCTCGAACTGGCAGAGATCCACCTACCTTTGCTTTCTGAGTTCTGTTATTTAAAACCTGTGCTACCACCCCATGATACATTTCTATTTTTAGAGAGTCTGTTTTGATATGCTTGAACTGTACTTGCATTTTAGGATGAGTGTTACTACCTATCATGCTTAAAGATTTCTCCTGAGTTATTTAAAATACTTAGGATAACAAATAAGGGGCTCCTACCCTTCTGTGGAAAACTGCCTGTTCTCATGCTTTCTGGAGTTCCATGTACTGCTTTCTTTTACGCCTTTCACATCCAGTAAAGGATCTGTGAATCAAACATTCACTGACTGTTGATTGCCACTCTGTTACAGAAATCAACTTTGCCCAATTCTGGCTATGCTGGATGCAAAGCTTCTGGACAAGACTTGAATGTTCCACTGGTTCCTGAGGTCAGACCCCCCCAGAGGCCCTGCCTTCCCAGGGGATCCAGGTTGCCATGTTCTGCCTCCAGGAAACATCTATGGAGATGCTCCACAGTATGATCCACCAAGGGACTTCCCAGGCCCACCATTCCCTCCTATGCCAGGTAGGCTTTTTTAAAGGACCATGTATGTGCATCAGTGTTTATCAGTGCTTCCTTTCAAGTTCGCTTCCTGTTAGTGTAAGAAACACTGGCTGGAACTAACCTGAGGAGGAAAGGGTTTATATGGCTCACAGGTCACTATTCAGCAAGAAAGGAAGTCAATCCACCCTAGGTAATTAGAATTTAATATGTCCAGTGTTAGATCAGATAATCAATAAATTCACAAGCACATTTTCCTTGTTTTATTCCTCCAGGCAGGGTTTCTCTATAGCTTTGGAGACTTTCCTGAAAATCATTGTGCAGACTAGACTAGCCTTGAAATCACAAATATCCACCTGTCTCTGCTTCCCAAATGCTGGGTTTACAGTCTTGAGGCACAAATGTCCTGCTACAAGCAGTTTCACCTTAAAATATTTGTATTTTATTTGACAGAAATGTTTTGAGGCCATTATAGTAATTAATTATAGTTGTTTTTCTTAAGATATCTGACTAAAATATTTTAAATCATTTCTCCTGTGTAGTAGTTCCTACAGGATCATATTTAAAATCTGAGACCATAGCTATTAGTTGAATTCATTGAAATATTTTCCTACCATTACATTTTAAAAGAAATGTAATGTACTGCTTTTACATCATACTTTCTCCTTTGGAATCATGAGTTTCTACACAGTTAATTATGTTTTTAAGTAATAGATAAGAACCAGCTTAGTTGTCCTAGGTATCTCTCTCTCTCTCTCTCTCTCTCTCTCTCTCTCTCTCTCTCTCTCTCTCTCTCTCTCTCTCCCTTTCCCTTTCTGTCCTCACCTCTGCTCTTAAACTTCTATTGGAATGGCATGAGTTTTGTTTGGGAAGTATTAAGTTAGTCCTTGGCATTAGAGGAAATGTTTCTATTAGGATATCAGTTCAGGATCACTGATATGCATGTTAAGTTTGAAAGTTTTACTCCATGGAAAAGCTGTTTTACAGAAAGTGTGGATTGCATTGAGATCTTTTTATCTGCCAAGTTAGGACAAACAAACCCGAAAGTGTTGTTGATGTTCTTATTATTCCTAAGTAGATAAGAAGTCCAATTTTGAAGGTCAAGTTTTATATGTGAGAACGAATATTGTGATGTGAGTGTTTGGATAACAGAGTAGGGGCTGGAGTTAGTGTTTCAATAAGTGTACAGTACAGGATTTCTTCTACCATTGTCTTTTACCCATCTCTTTGAGCAGGGAGAAATGTGTATGAACCAAGGTGCTTTCCACCTTATCTTCACCCAAGAGTTGGGTTCTTTCCCCCACTCCCATATCCTCCAGAAAACATCTATGGTGATCAATGTGGCTATTTTCCTACAAGAATCTTCCCTGGTCCACCATTTCCCCCAATGGCAGGTAAGCTTTTTTAATGGTTCTTGTGTATGTCAATGTTTATCTGTGTTTTCTTCAAGTTTGCTTCCAGTTACTGTGTTAAAACTATCCTTAACCAACTTGAGGTTGTAAGGGTTTATATGGTTCACAGGTTATATCCCAGCCACAAGGGAAGTCAAGGCTTCCCTTGACTTAGGGAATTTTGAATTTTGATTGTTTTTTGATAGGTCAGAAAAATCAGCAATTTTACCAGAGGGTTGGTTTTTTTGTTTGTTTGTTTGTTTTGTTTTCCTCAATTCAAGGATTTGCTATCACTTTGGAGCCTGTGTTGGTCTGCTTACCTTCCAAATTAGTACAAACACACCTGAAACTGATGGTGAAGTTATTATTTTTCCTAACTAGGTGAGAAGTATTTATTTGGGAGGTGAAATATGTTGGTGTTAGTGTGTGGATATCAGGATATGGGCCTGACTTAGTGGTTGAACAAGTGTGTAGTATGTGGTTTCAACTTGCATTGTCCTTTACCCATCTCTTCCAACAGGGAGAAATGCATACGAACCATGGGGATTTATACCTTACCTTCCTATAAGAGCTGGGTTCTTCCCCCCCACCACCATATCCTCCAGAAAATCTCTATGGAGATCCAAGACATTGCATTCCACCATGGGATTTTGCTAACCCAACTTTTCATCCATTTCCAGGTAGGCTACATGAAAGTCCACGTATGACTCAATATTTATCAGCTTTTGTTCAAGTTTGGTTACTATTACTGTGAGAAACATAGGCCAGAACAATCTTCGGGAGAATAGTGTTTATATAGCTCACATGTTACAGTCTATAGTAGGTACTAAACTAGCTAACATTCAGAAAGAATAAAATTCAGAAATTTAAATTTTCATTGTGTATTTGTTGAGTTATTTATTAGGGAAATTTTTACGTAATAGTATATTCTATATGCTGAGGGCAAGGTTGGCACAGGTAGAAGGATGGAACTGGGTGGTGCATCCTGAGTTGTTTCCTTAGGCTGACAGGGCTGAATAGGTCAACATCACCCTGCAAAAGGATATCTGTGCTGTTTAAATTTCTCCTAGTCTGAGGCTGCTTTTGGCACCCTAATGAAGTATATTATTGTATTTAAGTCGCATTGTTCTCTGTACCTGCAAGGGGAGTGGGATATATCAGGGCCATTTGCATCTGTTAATGGTCTGGGAATAAAATTAGTACTCATGTAGCTTTTTTTGGGGGGGGTGTAATTTTTGTCTAGATGGGCCAGTACCTTCCACTTTGGAATCCGGAAAGCATGCCACCAAACATGATACTGGGGTAAGTATTGGAAATTGAATTCTACCTGTGGATCTACAACTAGTTTCTTGGTTTTATTAGAACAAGGCTTGAGCTCTTCTACTTTGTTATATTAATAAAATGCACTTGCACTTAGATTAACACATTCTTTATTGATTTGTAACCTTCTGTGAAATAGTATGGAGCACAAGGCAGGTTTTGATGGCCCATGTAATCCTATCATTTTGGCAGGCTGAGGCCAGGCATGGTAATTTGAAAGCCAATGTGGACTATATGACTATATGAACTAGCATTTGCCTCAAAAAAATATAAGCTTTAGAAATGCATACACTTTAAGAACACTGGTGGCTCTCCTACATTACCTGGATTTGATTCCTAGCACCTGAGTGTGGGCTCACCACCCTTCTTAACTCCATTTTAAGACATCTGAAATTGTATTCTATCCTTCCAGAATATTGAATGTATAGAGTATGCAGATATGCATGCAGAAAAAAACACATTCCAGTAAGATGAAAAAGTATTAAAATAAACAAACAAAAGAAAGAAACCTGATATCTCCCACTTTATGAAGTACAACATTTAGATGAACTTCCAAGCTTTTTTATGTACTATACACTATTTCAGATATCTTAAAAAGTGTCGTTTTTTGATGTAGCTGAACTGTGTTTTTGTTTTAGGGTGAGCTAGGTAGATTGTTACTAATATGCTTAAAGATTTCTGTTTAATTAGTAAAATTAATTAGGATATCAAATAAGCTGATCCTACACACATGTGGGAAACTCAAACTGTTCACAGACTTGCTGGAATGTCATGGACTTCTTTTTCTTTGCCTGACACTCCCAGTAAAGGAGCTGTGTCAAGCCACTTCACTGACTGCTGATGTGGATTATCATTCTGTTACAGAAGGAAACGTTGCCCACCACTAGACCTCCTGAAAACAATGCAGCTGGTCATGGCTTGACTCCTCCACCTGTTCCCAGGCTTAGAGGCCCTAGAGGCTCTAGAGGTCCTAGAGGCCCTGCCTCTCAATATGATCGAAGAGGCCGGATCCCACCACCTCCTCCTCCAGGAAACATCTGTAGAGGTCCTGGACAGTATGTCCCACAAAAGAAATTTGCAGGCCCACAGTTTCCTCCAATGTCAGGTAGGCTTATCTAAAAGTCTCTGTATGTGTCCATTTTTATCTATTCTCTCCTTCAAGTTTGATTCCTGTTACTGTGAGAAACACAGACCAGAACCAACTTAAGGAGGAAAACATTGCATGGGATCACGGGTTACATTTCAGCAGCAAAGGATTTCAAGGCTTCAACTTGATCCATCTTATGGAATGTTGAATTTGAACTGTGTTATGATAAGCCAGAAGATCAGTAAAATTACAAGCTGTTTTTTGTTTATTTGCTTGTTTTTGTTGTTGTTTTTACCTCCACATTGCAGGGTTTCTCTAGCTTTGGAGCCTGTCTTGGAACATTCTCTGTAGATGAGGCTTCCCGTGAGTAATGGAGATCCACCTGTCTCTGCTTCCCATGTACTGGGATTAAATTCAAGTTTAAAATATACCCAGAAGCAAATAGTATTAGGATTAAAACTATGTGTGTTTCATTTGATAGTAATGAATTGAGGCCATTATTTCAAATAATTATTAAATATGGACTTACGATTATAGACTAAAGTGTTTCACAGTATGACTTCTAAGCAATAGTTTTCACATGATCGTGTTTAAAATCCAAAATCAGTTTATTATTTGGTGAATTCATGAAATTCCTTTATACACTTACATTTTAAAATAAATGTAATTAGTTGCTTTTACAGCATAATTACCCCTTTGACATCATGTGTGTGTACACAGTAAGTCATGTTTTCAAGTACTAGAAAAGAACAAGCTCAGTTGTGCTTGGTGACTTATCTCTGCCATGGCCTCTAGTCTTAAGCTCCTTGGAGAACGATATTTGTTTTTTGAGTGAATTTATTCCACTGGCATTATAGGAAATTTCTCTTGTCGAATGTCAGGTCGATATTATCATAGGACTGTTAAGTATGAAAGTTTTACTGTATTGAAATCTATTTTAAAATAGGCCTCCAGCATATTGAGATCTGGCATAGCTACAAGATTGGACAAATACAACTGAAATCATTGGCGATGTTCTTACTTATTAATCATATGTAGCAAAGAAGTCCATTTTTCAATGTAAAGATTTGTTTGTAAATCAAGTATTATATGAGTGTTGACATATTACCACAAGGGCTGGAGCTATTGGTTTAATAAGTGTAAGGTATAGGGTTTTACTTTCCGATGACCTAGACCCATCTCCTGAAATTGAGAAAAGTGCATGAACCTATGGGCTTTCAAAATTTCCTCAACAAAAGTGCTGCATTTTCCCAAACCCCCACATCCTGAGTGTAGAAATGATCTCCCTCCAGAATCAATTCCACTTTCCCAACATGCACATGAAACTCCATCCTACACCAGGACCTCCTGAAACACAAGGAGACCTGGCAATTTCCATGACAATAATTTATTGTCATTTGCACTCTGACAACTGCTGTTCGTTCTGTGACTCTGTTGTGGTTCAGAAGGAAGCTTAATACAATTAAATTTCAGAATAGTATTTTGGAAAAGAAGGATGATTTAAATACTATCTTTGAGTAAGTTATTTCCATTTATTTCACTATGGATAGTAACATTTACATTGATTATTACCTCTTATATGATGAAGGGAGTTAGGCATACAGTCTTAGTGATGAGGATACCTTAAACTCTAACCTCTGTCTCTTTACACCAGGAATGTGTAGAACATCTGGTTGTAGACAATTGTAAAAGTAACTGTAGCTACAATCAATCAAATTTTAATTGAAGTAAATTCTTATTTGGCAGTGTTAATATTAAAACCAGCTTGTGTCCCATAAACATGGTTCCATAAATGAGTACTTTTTACTATGTAGTTCCAGAGGGAAGGGTCTGAGCTGGATAAATGGTGGATCACTGGTTAATACTGGCTCCTCCACAAGAACTGAGGACTTGGCCTTTGTTCCCAGCATCCACATATAGCTATAGTGCAAGGCAATACTCTCTGTTGGGATGGTAGTACTCCCTGTTAGCAGCATATCTTGGCAGATATACCATGACTGGGGCATCCCTAGTATCTTCTTTCTGTGTATCACATTCATGTGTGATGTATGAGAAGGCCAGAACTGGGCATCAAAGCCCCTGGAAGTGCTGTTACAGATGGTTGTGAGCTGTTGTATTGTTGCTGGGAATTAAACACAGGTCCTAAGGAAGAGCAGCCTGTATCCTTAAACACTGAACCCATTTATCCACACCATTCATGTTGATAATATTTTAGGAGTGCCACCTAATGTGTGTGTGGAAGGGTAATTGTGGTGACATAGTAATGGTTTCCTATATTTGGCCATAGTACAAACTGTCCTTTGCTCCCTAGGTATCATCTCATTGGTCTCTATTTGCAGATGATATGATAGTTTACATAAGTGACACAATAAACTCTACCACGGAACTCCTACAGCTGATAAACACCTTCAGCAAACTAGCAGGATACAAGATAAACTCAAAAAAGTCAGTAGCCCTACAATTTTCAGACGACAAAGAGACAGAGAAAGAAATCAGAGAAACATCACCCTTTACAATAGCCACAAGCAACATCAGGTATCTTGGGGTAACATTTACCAATCAAGTGAAAGACCTATATAATAACTTGGTCGCTCAAAACAAAGAAATTAAAGATACCAGAAAATGAAAAGATCTCCCATGCTCTTAGGTAGGATAAACATAGTAAATATGGCACCTACAGATTCAATGCGATTCCCATTAAAATCCCACCACAATTCTTCACTGACCTTGAAAGGATAATAATCAACTTTATGTGGAAAAACAAAATCCCAGGATAGCCAAAAAAAAAAAAAAAAAAAAAAAAAAAAAAAAACCCTATACAATAAAAGAACTTCAGGAAGCATCACCATTCCTGACTTTAAGCTCTACTACAGAATTATAGTTCTGAAAACAGCCTGGTATTGGCATAAAAATAGACAGGTAGACCAATGGAATCTAATTGAAAATCCTCATATTATCCCACATACCTATGAACACCTGATTTTTGACAAAACAGCAAAAATTATACAATGGGAAAAGGATAGCATCTCCAATAAATGGTGCTGGCACAATTGGATGAGGATGTGTAGAAGACTACGGATAGAACCATGTCTGTTGCCATGCACAAAATGCAAGTCCAAATGGATCAAAGACCTCAACATCAATCCAACCACATTGAACCTCTTAGAATAGAAAGTAGGAGGTATCCTTGAACAAATTGGTATAGGATACCACTTCCTGAATGGGGCACAGAAACTGAGACGAAAAATTAATAAATGGGAACTCTCCAAACTTTCTGTAAAGCAAAGGACACAGTGGACAAGACCAAATGGCAGCCCACAGAATGGGAAAGATGTTCACAAATCCTATATCCCACAAAGGGCTGATCTCCAAAATATGCAAACAACTCAAGAAACTAGTCAACAAAACACAAAATGAGCCTATTAAAAAATGGGGTACATAACTGAAGAAAGAATTCTCAATAGGGGAAATCAAAAAGGCTGAAAGACACTTAAGAAAGTGCTCCACATCCTTAGCTATCAGGGAAATGCAAATCAAAACAACATTGAGATACCTGTTGTTGTTATGCCTGCATTCTCAGTATTGGGGATATCTTAACAACTATTATCTATTTCATTAGTCCAGGAATGTGTAGAAACATGTGGTTCCAGACAAACGTATAGGTACCTGCAGGTATAGCCCCTCAAAATTTAATTGAAGTAAAGTCTTATTTGGCAGTGTCCCATCAACATGGTTCCATAATGAGTACGTTTTATTCTGTGCTTCCAGAGGGCAGGGTCTGTGGCTGGAAAAAAATGGTAGGTGACTGGTTAATACTGGCTCCTCCAGCAGAACTGAGGACTTGGGCTTTGTTCCCAGCATCTACATAGAGCTTCGGTGCAAGGCACTTTTCTCTTTTGGGCTGTAAGTACGCCCTGTTAGCAGCCCTCCTTGGCAGCTATCCCATGATTGTGGCAATGCTTCCATCTTATTTCTGTGTATCACGCTCATGTGTGACACATGTGAAGGACATAAGAAGCCTTCAGAGAACCTGGATTTGCAGATACAGATGGCTGTCAGCTGCTGTGTAGTTTCTGTGAACCAAGCACGGGTCCTAAGGAAGAGTGGACTGTTCCCTTGACCACTGGAGCCATTTGACCACACCATTCATGCTGTGAACGATATAGGTGTGTCAGCTAATGTGTGTGTGTATGTGTAAGGTTAGTTTTGATGCCATAGTAATGCATTCCATTATCTGGCCATAATACAAACTCTCCTGAGTTCCATGGGTATCATCTCATAGATTACAGTCCATTTATATCCATCCTGTTTCCTACAACGATATGAAGCCGGCCGATGCCAGTGGATATTTAAACGACTACCTGTAAAATAATTTGTTTTCTTGTTCTTAATAAATTATCTTATTCCATCATTTATATTTAGTAGATTTAACCTGTCAGGTTGCCTGCTACTGTCACTCATTATACACTGAATCAGGAAAGGTGTGTTTCTGTTGTAGTTATAAATGCAATGGACATAAACAAAAAATAATATTAAGAAATTGAACTTTTCATTATATGTTTGTTGAGTCACTTGTAAGGGTTCTCGACCATAACAGTGCCTGTCCAGTCCTGAAGGAAAGGTTGGCATACCATGCAGACAGGATGTGAATGCTGAATCTCTAGTTGTTCTTTAAGGCTAATAAGCAAGATTGCCTAAGAGCCAGCTGTACATGTCACCAGCACACTTCAAAACCATATGTGTTCTATCGAAATTCTCCCAAGTCTGAGGCTGCTTTTGTCACCGTGATGAGCATTGCTATCGTATTCCTGTCGCCCTGTATTCTATCCCGACAAGGGGAATGGGACATGTCAGTGGTATTTGGATTGGGAAACCTCCTGAAAATAAAGGGAGAACTCATGAATTTTCCTGGTTTAACTTCTAGGTGAGCCAGTGTACTCAACATTGGAGTCCGGGAAGAGTGCCACCAAACACGACCCCGTGGTAAGTTGTGGAAATTGACATCTACCCGTGGATCC